TTGACATGGAAGCCCTTCTGAAGTTTGAGGGTACAGAAAAACCACAGCTACCTTTAACCACTACTTTGTATTCTTCTGAAGTAACACTTCTGCAAATACATTTTTGTTTTGTGATGTGAGTTTTAAGGCAATGGTTATGATCTTTCATAGACCTCTGTCCCCAGTCCACATTGGCAAGAATAAAATAAAAGCACAAAAGCCCCAAAATTAAAATCCAACTTGGTTTAAACAAGCTCAGGTCACGAGTCAAACACCAAGCATGATTTGTCCCTAAGTCTGATGAACTGGTTTTATGTGTATATATGTGGGTGTGTTTTGGATACTTGCCCCAAGCCAGCTGCTGAAGAGCATTGTCAACACAGCAGAACAGTGGGGAAATGAATAGAACAGAGCCAAGACCCATGATCATTTTAAGGGACAGAACAAGACAGAGCATCTCTGCTGCATTTCCCTTTTCTGAATATAAGGTTTTGGAAAAAGTAAAATTTTCCTCCCATGTTACCATTTCAGAGTCCTTTATATCTTTAAATGATTAACAGTAAAAGCAGCTCTATTCTGTGTATGTGAGTGGACCCCAGACAACAAACACTCTGCTATGTTTTAGCTGTTGAGCATCCATTAAATAGTAACCACCAATGGATTGCTAAGGGACAGATCTCAACAAATGCTACCCAGCAGATGAAACCCAAAGAACTTTCCAGACTTTCTGCCCTGCTCAATCAGGCCAATGGTCATTTTTAAGTGGTTGCTTGTTATATTTTTTTTTATCCAAGGTATTTATAATAATAATGAAACAAAACATCAAACTGCAGCCTCTTCGCCGTAATCTACATTGAAAAGAACATGACAGAAAGGAAGGATTGATGGCTAGTGCAAGATAACTCTCTTGAGATTAATGCATTTTATCCTGTTGATACTTCTATCTGCAATCATACTCCAATAATCCATTGAACATTGTTAGATGTGAAAGACCACTAAAGAGCAGACATTTCCTTTCTAGGAAAAGTGCCTGCAAACAATATAGAGGAGAAAGCGGGTGACAGAAGCCAAACACACTGCCATGCTGCTACCAGTATTGTGACAGTAGGATACATTATGCAAATAACAACGTAAAAACTCCTCAAATATACATTAATAACAAAAACAATCACCTTTATCATTATCAAACTCTAAAATCACAGTAAAATATAGACTGAAGTCCAACAAGACCAAACTCCATTCAAAAGGGCAGCTTCAAGGATACATCAGACATCTCCAGGACTTGCCCTCTGTGGAGTTGTTTCTCCCCATGTGCAGGACTTCACATCTTCTGCTGACCCTGATGAGTCTCCTGCCAGCCCATTCACCCAACCTGAATATCAGCCCTGCTCTCACCACGTCAGCAACATGTCCTCATTCTCACACATCCTGCTCTGCACGGGAGCTGAGGAAGGTGACACTGAACCGATATAGCTGGACAAAAGTTTTCTCTTTCTTATTTAGAGATGACACACTGGTTACATTCTCACTTCCCAGGTTTGTCACACGGACCTCTTCAAGAAAATAAGCAGCCAGCTCCTAGCAGCAATCAATTCAGTACAATTCTGTGTGTTCCACATTTTTTGAGCATGACCTTAAATAATTTAGAATATTGTTAAGTTTGATCAAAGGAGCCGTCCAGAAGTAGGCTGTCCATAAAACCACAGCCTGACTGGGAGACTGCACCCAAGATCACTCACTGAAAAGGCAGGTCTGTTACTCTAAGCAACTTCTTCTCCCCTCTTCTGTCCTTAATTTAAGCTTTCTGACCACCTTTCAAGCCTACCCACTTCTTTTGCCCTGCGGTCTTAATACGGCTGCCTAGGACTTTCAGAGCTCTAGCTCCTCCCTGCCAATTACCAAATTCCTCATCAGCTTCTACACCTCTCTTCTTTATAAATTCACATTCAATCAGTGTAGACTGAAAAATGTAAATCTTAAATGCCATATTCAACAAAAAACTGAATTTCTGGATTCAGACACTGTTAAAGACAACACAGAACCATTCCAATATGCACACATGCCATCAAGTTTGTCATGCATGTTTCTTACTTTGCTGTGAAGGATTCATCTGACATTATTTTATGAAAAATAGAACATTAAGTCCCTATTTCATCCAAAATTACATATATGGCTAGATATCAGTTATTTACATAAAAGTAAACTTACACACATCGTGATATGGTTTGAAGGAGACCATCAAAGAGTTTAAAAATACCAGTACAGCATACAGATGATGTAATCCAAGATCTTTATACTATCAACGATATACCAACATACTCATTCCATGTTAGTAGAAAAATCTTGGTTTTCAAAACTTATTTAGCTAAGCAGCATTTTCACAGCTGTACAATAAACTGAAAACCAGGATGCTGGTTAAAATCCTCCAGTCTTCTCCCCACTGGAGTCAGAATTTTATCAACTGATCTTAAAAGCATCCACCTCTGTTGCTTAATTTTTCTGGAATCAGTCTTCACAGACAAGGATTTTTGTCTCAGACCTTGAGTTATTCCACAAAAAAAAACACATTTGTTTTTCGTTGTTCGGCTACATGATTTAATCATGGTATTTTCTTAATCATAAAGATTAACAGCTGGATTCAGAGCCCTACGTTTGCAAAGACTGCCAAACTGATAACACACAATGAAATAATGCAGCATTCTCTCCCTTATCTGCACATATTCTGCACAGCTACCCCATGATTACTGAGGGATATCAGAGGAACATGAGAGTAGAAGTATGCTATGAAAAGAAAGAGGTCATCCCATTTCTCATCTTCTTCCTGCCATCCCTCCACACTGAGTCAAATAAACAAAAGAAAAAGGATCAGAGATACAGAGCTAGAAGTGCTGCATTTCTCACACCACTACAGTCTTTTCCAAGAGATTTGGAAAATGGCCATATGAACTCAAGGAATATTATGACTTTCTCCTGGTTACAACAGCCAATCTTGTGGATCTGACAGATCTTCAATTTTTTCTGCCCTAGTGTCACATCCCAGGCCAAATACATAGCATGGCCCTCTAGTCTGAACATGTTTCTCCTCCAACACAAACGTTATTACACCATGGTTGTGTTGTCTTATCCTGTTTTCTGGACAGTATGTGGAACCCACTCCAACTCCAATATCCAGAAATAACAGAGATAGTAAGAGGGTACTGACAACCTCTCATTAACTTTCTGCCAGTGAAGCATCATCATTATCCCCGCCTTTTAGCCTGTATGTGCAGAATTTTGTCACTCTCATTCTGTAAGATGCAAGCAAAGTCTCAATGGTATCAGTCTTTCTACTATTTACTACTATTTATACACCAAGAGCTCTGAGCAGGGAAGTGTTTGCTCCTCTATGATGTCATCCTACCCCAAGCTATCATACATATCTGTACAGAGAGCAGCCTGGATGTGTTAGCAATTAAATCAGAGAAATTCCTTAAGACTTTGTACGCTGGCTTTTACAGACAGCAACTGCTGGTTCTTATCTGGGAATACAGGCCCTGATCCTTGAAATGAATTATGCCACAGAACCAATAATACTACCTGTCAACTCTGTTAAGGTTTAAATTTGGCTCCTGAAGGTTTTCAGGAACCTGTGGTATAAAATGCAGATGTACTATAGATGTTTCTAAACTAAACACAACTAAAACTAAAACTAAACTAAACACAACTATTTCAATGTCCAACTATTTCAATGGCTGTTATATCAGGAGGTCGGGATCAAGGACACAGATGCTTCACTCAAGGCTTGTGCTCCTTGTGAAACTTCAGGTAGTTAGGAACAATGCATCTTTTACTTGTTGCAAACACTAAAAAGACTAATCTGGGAATTTAAGTCTTCCATAACTAAATCAGCTGTCAGTAAACTGTAAAACATCTGAGCCACTCAAGTACTGATATGACCAAATCACCTTTGTGATAAATGACAATATTAGCCCTACTTAAATACTTTGGTCAAATAGAGCTATACATTTCTGGTAGTCAACTGCACTTTTGGAGAACCTTAATTTCTGTTTCTTTGATTGTTCCTGCCCCTGTCCAAGGTTCAGGGGATGAAGAAAACTGTCTGGAAAAGAACTTTTCTACTATGACACATCCCTTCTCAACAAATAGTTTCCACAATCCCTTACTTAACAGAGCTGTTGCACTGCATTTCACTGCTCTGTGCATTGCATCTGCCACTGCAATTCGTTTCATCTGGTGCAAACCCAGGTATGGTCAGCTTTGTCTGAACATCCTTAGCTGGCACTGGTTAACACAGCATCCCAAAGTCCATAGTTTACCAACAGGTCAGACTGACAAATATCAAGTCCTACTGAATTCTATCATCTTAAGAAACATTACAATAAATTCAGTAATACACAGAGATTCACTAATAGTTTTTCCTGTCCATCTACCATAATAAAAACAGGTGGTATGACATATCTCTGCATGGTAAGAAAGCAAAGCACCAAGGTATTTACTAAAACATCATATCCTATTTGACTTACATGGCATTTGTCAGTGTGGTAGCTGACTGCCACACAACAATATATTAAGCTTCACAGTCATCATACGTAATGGAAGATAACACCTAACCTATTCACCCTACATCCCTGTGCACAAGAATAACACACCCTGCTTTGTGTCTGACCATTCAAACACCTGATCTCTATGGTGTGTCACCACTCATTTCCTTAAGGGCACTACTACCTTTTCATTTGAATGTTCAGGTCTGTAGCTTTTGTTTCTTTTTTTTGTTTTGTTTTGTTTTGTTTTGTTTTCTTCTGTTGTCTTTTTATTTTTGTTTTGTTTTTGTTTTTTTAAACTCAGAAACTGTTGCATTAAGCTACAGTTACATCAAGCTAAAGTTGTCCCCTGCAGGAAAGACAATATGGCACATGAAACTCTGACTGGTTGCTTCATCTATTCTGTTTTGTAATATACTGTAATTTTTTATAATAGCAGTAATATGTATAATGCATATGGCTGCAAAAATATCAACCAACTTTTATGGCTTTCCTCTTCATATGAATATTCAGTCATCCATTCGTCCCTAGATCCACTTCAATCCTGAAAAGAAAAAAAAGGAATAACTTAGTTGGCATATGATTGATTTATTTTCTTATTGGCTTATTAATTAAATTCTCAAATATTTCTACATATATATATATAGGTAAAAAGGTAACCACAGACTTCTGTTTTGCAGTGAAATAGCTTAGAAGAACAGTAAGATTTTTAAAATAAAACTGGATTATTATGATACAACTATATTAACTATATTGGAGAAAGCTTTATATATTTCCTGTTAACAAATTATTTTATTCAGTGTTCTCAGAGTTGTTCGTTTCTAAGCTGCTTGCAGTTATCCTTCAAATTATGTTTGCATCACGTTTGTAGAGGCAAACTTTGCAATGCAACTTACTTAGCTTCACGAAAACACACGAATGCTGGCAGTCTTCTTAGGTTACTGTGGCTATGGCAATAGAAAAAAGCATAGATATGTGTTTCAAAACTAAAACTAAAACACAGTTATGTAGCTAATCACAACCGTGACCATGTTTGCATTACCAAATCACGCACAATTGCCCTTCACAAAAAAACATACTTCTTTAGCAATAATTTTGCTTATTCATTTTCTGCCTTTGCTTATTCATTTTCTTCAAGTTTGCATGATTTACAATTCACAAAAAGCAACGAATTGCCCATCTTCCATTTCCTTCCACACACCACATCACTGCAGTCTCTCTCCTTAATGCACTCCAAGCTCATGTAAGTACTACTGTATGGACTCTTTGATAAGCACAAGCAGTTCCAGCATTGCAACCACCCCACAGCCCAAAACATATAATAAGGTGTTCAGCCCAGAACACCCAAAATACAGAACACATAGTTTGACGATAGAACAGGAATCAGCCTCCTAGCACTGAGATGGCCAGCAAGGGTGGCAAAGAGCAGTGATGGTGATGAGCAATGAGCACTGGCCGCAGATTCCACACATATTGGCCAAATAACTTAACCGTGACTTTTTTAGGCTGCTTATGGGTGAAAAGAATCACAGAATCATTAAGATTGGAAAAGATAACTAAGATCCTCCAGTCCAACTGTCCACCTAACACCAATACTGCCCACTAAACTATGCTCCTTAGTATCACAAAGGTACTGAGAGGTAAATCTCTATCTGGAAACACCTGCTCAACGAGCAGCCTCATTTTTAGAAGTGTTGTACACCTTTGACTTGAAATGAAATGACATGGAAATGTACATGAGAAACAGGGCCGTCTGTCCTTGCAGATCTCACGCACTGATTCTGTCCCGTGTCATAGCACTGAGCAATAGATTGCTCCTCCTATGTCAAGAAAAAAAGTAAAAAGTAAACAGAAATTTTAGAAATCCAGTTTGGAAACAACTCTTTTTCATCCGGCTGGCGTCCCCAGTGCTTAGCAGAGAGGGCTAGAGTAAGGAACATGGGAAGATTTTTAGGACAATCATGCTAGACATTCATAGACAAATGGAGGCTACTCTTATTTGTAGAGAATGTTTTTATATGTATTTTTTATATTTTTGTCTGTTTCTAGACAACAACAAGTTCATACAAGTATCATTTCACTATCTGTTTTATGTACTATTAATTTTTAATTAAATTCCTTAGAAGTAGTCCTCATGTCATACACCTCCTTTTTCTAATTTGGATGTATAAGGTAGAACACACACACGAAGAAAATATCAACTATGTTACAAAGTAGTAATTTGCTTAACTTTCCTCTCTACAAAGTAAAACCCATATTAGGATATCACCATACCTCTGAATCACTGTCTTGAACCATTTATTTTACTTTAAAAAATGTATGCACTTTTATTCTTCAAAACTCTCAAATCTGAACTTGCCTTTCAACAAATCCCCTTACAATCCCTCTCAAACGCCTCGAGTCACATCCAGCTTCATGAAGACTAAGAGTGACTACTTCCAAAGGCCATCCTAATCATCAGATGCAGCAGAATAATTGAAAGTACACTTTTAGCAGTGTACTACATAAAGAAAAGTGGTTGCCATCAATGCAGTGTTGAGAATGGCTACCTGTACACTCATAGTAGCCACATGCTTATCACAGAATTATAGAATGGGCTGGGTTGAAAAGGATCACAATGATCATCAAGTTTCAACCCCACTGCTATGTGCAGGGTCACCAACCACCACACCAGGCTGCCCAGAGCCACATCCAGCCTGGCCTTGAATGCCTCCAGGGATGGGGCATCCACAGCCTCCTTGGGAAACCTGTTCCAGTGCGTCACCACCTTTTGTGTGAAAAACTTCCTCCTAATATCTAACCTTAACCTTTCCTGTCTCAGCTTAAAACCATTCTCCCTTGTTTTGTCAACTTACCTCCTTTGTTTCCCACATTTCTGGTTCTTGCAGAGAAATCTGTGAACTCTGTAAACCAGACAGGACTTCCCATTCAGAAGCAATAAGGGACAGGAGAAGATAAAATTCAGCGCATCACTGTACTGTATCTGCCTACCCAAAATTTTACATACACCTGCACTCAAGTACCTACATTTCTTTCCTTGGATCTCGCCCCAAAGATCTTCATAAACTGGATTCTGCACCGCTGTAATTTAGACTAGGCAAAATACTTTGCCACCAATTTTTCTGTGGAGAAAAAGAAACTGCAATGTGAGCCTGTGTCCCATCAGCAGGCATCACAATCTGCAAGTGGAGCCAAGTAGCAGGATCACAAGAGCACTTACGACGCATTTTGTCACTGATAACCCGACTGCGAACATAAAGTTTATTCTGTTCTCAGCTGAATTTTTTGCTTGTCTTTGATAATTTCTCTTAAGATGAGGCAAACTGAGTTACCTGCTCTGAGACCACCGGCACCTCCCAGTATCTTTGTTACTCTGACGTGGTGTCAGTAACAAAAATACCTGAGGCTGCTCTAATATTTCAAAAATATTTCCGAAAGTTAACTTAAGTTTTGAACTTCTGGTATTTTAATAAAAGTAAAGAGACTGATATTTTAATAAAACTAAAGAGAAGCAGCAGGCAGAGAGTGGGATGCTTGTTGCTAGGTGATACCTAGGCTCTCCTGAACTCCTACAGACTGAAATATTTATCCAGACTCCCACAAAGAATGACATCCAGCATAGAGAAAGAAGAGACACGCTGACTGAAATGCATCATGATTCAAGGTGAGAAGCAGCAGCTCTGCCACCAGTTCAGTCCCTGGGGTGCACCATGACAGGGATGCTGAGGGGGAGGCTGACGCAGCTCCTCCTCGGCGTCTGCCTTGACTTCACTTGGAGCCCCGGCAGCGAGACACCTCCAAAACCAGCTTTTCTTTTACAACAAACTGGGACTACCTCAGTTCCACTAGGGTCTTGGCAGCAGGAGAACCTGCATCCTTCACCCACCTGACTGTAAAAGCTGTTGTGTTTTAAACTGTTGTATTTCAACAGTGGATTTGCAGCTGGCCAGGTGTGGACAACGCTGTCACTAACAGAACATACAGCCTTGGCAAGAAGGCTACAAGCCACCCATCTCCTCCTCCTCCCTTTAAAAGGTTTATTCAATGGCTAAACTTCCAAGGAGTGCTTATGAACACTTCCAGTAGAGTATTAAACACTGTTCTTTACAGGTCTCATATATAACATTAATTAATTATTTAGAATCAAACAGCTTCAAGGATCAGTCTCAGATCTCCTGGGACTTACAGATGCACTTCAACCTCCCTACGAATCAAGGGCATGGTTTGACAAAAATAATATACAGAAACATACTAGAATTCTGGTGCTATAACTTTAGAGAATTGTTATTCTGGGAAAAATGTATTTCAGTAAAGAAAAAATCTGCAACTGTGTGCATGTCCACAAAGAATTCTGGTGTGGCAAAGAAGACAAGAAACCTTGTGAAGGTTAAACAGCTTGAGTAGTTAAAATACATAGAAAGAACAGAGTCCTCAAACGTCTGAATTTAGGTAATATTCACTGGTCAATCCAGAGTAGTGCTGTAAATTGCAGGGAGCAGAGAAAATCACAGCAAAACAACGTAACCCTTTGAATCGTTATTGTAAAAGCACTGATTATCCTCCATGCTTTTTGTTGATTGAATAGATAGCTCTGAAATCTCTCTATTCCCTTCGCACCTCTAGCCTAAGTAGAATGACATTGGTTTCTGTTAGATCTAAATAAAATAAGGTTCTGATAAACACAGCCACACATCACTTTGGACAACTTGCTGACATAAGGAAATGTCTGTGTTACACAGCACACACACTCAGCACAAGGTCTCTCAGATCACCATCTACCCTCACACACAGTTCAAACTACACATTAAAGTTAAAATCCTATTTACCATTCTGCACACATGAAGTCAAAGGACTTAGCGGGCCCTTTCTTGGTAGAAGAATTACTTGCAACTTTTAAAATATATATATATACACACATTTATATGAGTATACATATATGAAAATACGTAATACATAGATATATGAAAAAACAGACACAGAATTCTGATGAATCGATCAACTACTTATTTGTAAATAACTGACTTAAGGAACCTGCAGAAAGCACACTCTCAATCACCAAAATAACACAGGGCCTCTCAGCCAAACTCTGAAAACATTTCTGAACCCTCAAAGAGAGAATTAAGAAAAGTCATTTTATCCTCTTATTTTAGACTTTCTTCAGCAAAACTATATAACTGTACGTACTACTCTCAAAACGATAATGACTCTCTGAGATCACTATTCCACTTGAAACTAATTACAAAACAGTAATACCAAGGCAAGTGCCACCTCAGTTTCAGGTTGAAACAGTGCTTCTGCACTTTGTTTGCACTCCGGCTCATGCCCCACACAGAACAACAGAATAAAGACTTGCCAATGATTCTTCCTTACCATCATGGTGGGGAAGGGGACAAAGCCCAAAGCTCTCCAACAGAGGGAGGAATTAATGAAGTGACTGGATTGACTACAGAGATTGCACAGGAAAGCATTTCACTGTTTGGGCAGGTTTCATGTTGTCATATCTTCCTGCTAATAACGAGTATCATTACTAAATGTTATTACCCA